AATGTGCCGAACAGATAATCACCTGTACCGAATATGCGATAAATAGTGACAACTCCGTGAACATAGATTAAACATATATAGAGGGGGCATAATTTCCACTTCACATGAAACATTTTTCACATAATCTCACTAACGGTTAATAGATCCTCAAAATTAGTCAATCCAATCAATTGACAATAGTTGTCATTCAATAATATTTAAATGTTTATTATTTATTTTAAAAAACTGTTATTATAATTCTGTAAAATGTTTTATTACTTGACATGAGGTTGACTAAACTTGATGATATAGTACCTTTCAAAGAAAGTACCGGTGAAAAAAAAATTGTGCCCTGTCTCGTCTATGCATTATTAAATGTCTTTGTGAATTAGCTCTGTTTTTTACAATATAGTCAATAGTAGTATTTTTTTTTCATTCCAGGTTGTTGCGATGACTATCCTAGCTTCGTTCATCACCTCACATTATCGAACTGAGATTGTTCTATACGCAACGATAGCGACAGCAGCAGTTGTGTTCGTTTGTGTAATTTTGGCCTTCACTTCTGTAAGCTTTTAAAACACTTAAAATTAATTACAGTTTTATCGTTTATTATATACTAGCTTTCGCCCGCGACTGCGTCCACGTGGAATTAAAAACAAAACTAAGTAACCTATGTGTTCTTCCAGACTATTCTCTACATCCATACCAAATTTCATCGAAATTCGTTTAGCGGTTTAGGCTACAAACTCTAACAAACATCCATCCATCCATCCATGTAAACTTTCGCATTTATAATATTAGTATGACTAATATTATAAATAGGAAAAATATCAAATACAGTACAAAACACATAATTATAATAAAAGTGTCTATAAACCCATTGCGGGTTTGTCCACTGTGGGTACTACGCTAAAAAATATAACAGTGGGTAAGAATTTTTTTTTGTCACTACGCTCATACCGTCATATACAGGGTGCTCACAATAAATGTGTAGTTTGGTATATTGCTTATTTTGTCTATGTTGTCTATTCCACGTATACCAACTGCAATCTGGTCGGTTTCCTGTGTACAATAATACCAATATAATAATACCAAGTATAATTTTCACGACATACCTTATTTACTAATGAGTATTTATATCTATACTCATATAATTAAATTTAAGTGTCTGTTTCTAATATCAAAAGAAATATCCCAGATTTCGGAAAGAAGATCTATGTGCGTTGCTGATAACGAAAATTGCATTTAAAAAATTTTTGGTCCGTCTGTCTGTCCGCAAGCCGCGTTTGTTCCTCGCAATCTCCGAAACGGCTGGGCCGATTTCGACCAAACTTTCACCACACCTATTGGTGATATGTCACTTACGGGCATATGTTACATATGACACATACGGGCTGACGGGCATATATTGGCTACTTTTTTTATTTTAATATTGCTTGGAAGTCGCGGGTAACAGCTAGTAATTTGTTATTTTTTTCAGTTTGATTTCACTGCGTGGATATTGTACGTTATTGTGGTATCAGTAGCGCTGTCAGTGATTATTATGATCGTTGTTCTAATGATGCTTATAACGGGCCAGACTATGAAACCTGTTGTATTGGTACTTCTAATTGTTGCTACATTAGTACAAGCTATTGTAAGTACGGATTATATTATGTTAATAACGATAATTAACCAAATTTAATGTTAAATCGAATACGATATTCGAAAATTATTCGATCGCGATTTAAGTATTTAGTTTGATTTTTAATCGGCGAAAAAAAAAATGAATTAAATACTGATATCGAATATTAATTTCGGCCTACATAGAATTATATTTAAGACAACGTAAAATTTCAAATTTTGTATTTTGATTTTAAAAATTGTGTATAACGCCATCTATTTTAAAAATTAGAAACTATGTCACTGACATTCAATCTTTGTCTCGATTTAAAATCATTGTTTTTTTATTTCCAGATGTTGACGATAGAACTTCAAAGTGTATTAGGAGGACGATCTGTGGAGCTTTCGGAAAATGATTATGCTCTCGGAGCTTTTATGATTTACACATCGATTATCAGCATTTTCCTTAAAATAGTTCAAATTCTTGGTATTTTAGATGATGGATAAATTTACCGTGTTAATAAGTAGTTTTTGTATTTTATATGTATGTTATTTTTATATTAACTGTTTAATTACATAGATGATATTATAATTATACATATTTTACTTTAAATAAATAAATTTTTGTTATGGACATTATTTTTATTTTTTTAAGTATTAGTAGACTTTTGTTAATTTACTAACATTTCCTTTAACCATTCCAATTAAGCTCTAGGCTGGTACTAGGATATGGTTTACAATAGTCGAATGGCGGGATTCGAACCCTCGACCTCAAGATCGGTTGTCCGTACCCCAAACCATTAGGCTATTCGTGCTAATTTTTTGCTTTAAGAAACTAAACAAATAATTTGTGTAATGGTAACTTTATACCGCTTTTATTTGTAAGGCTGTAAGTGTTTAGGGAATGTCGGTGGCTCAGTGGTTTAAGCACTTGACTTGTAATCTACAGGTCTTGGGTTCAAATCCCGCCATGTACCAATGTGATTTTCGAATTTTCGAATTTTCATATGTACATAATTTACCTGACGTTCTAACGGTGAAGGAAAACATCGTGATGCAACCTGCACATATCGGCGAAGAAATTTAAAGATATGTGTGAAGTCAACCAACCCGCACTGGGCCAGCGTGGTTGACTATAGCCTAGTCACCATAACTTAGGGTAGGCTCCGAGTCCCTCGGTGGGGATATATAGTGAGCTGGTGATGATGATGATCAAGTGTTTAATATTGTTAATTTTAAACACTTACAGCTTTACAAATAAACGCGGTATAAAAATAAACTTAGGAATAAACTGAAAGCAAATGACATACACATTTTGCTTATACTCAGTTTATTCCTAAGTTTAATTTTATACTGCGTTTATTTGTAAGGCTGTTATACTTTTAAATAACCGAAATTATAGTGAAAATAATCACAAATTAATAGCAAGCTGATTCCCAAGCTTTGCGGAAATAAAGCACTCATTATCCTAATGAGAGAAGTCGTTAGTGAAAAATTAGACTTGTATGTGCAGAATCCTGACATGAATAAAAGATTACATCGAATTATTTTCTTATGCTTGCAATATACAACACTGAAACTACACAAATATTTACACTAGTGACAGTAAGACAAGTAAGCCTTTTTTTTATCAACATTAGTGATTGAATGTTAGATTCAGTATTTAAATAACGTTTCAGTAATCGGTCGATAGACACTCGATGTATATTGGGTATAAAGTGCAAAGTATGAACATTATATTCTCGAACGTCTACTTACTAAGAGCGCACACATCCATGACTAAACTATCGCACAACTGTTTAGTCTTACTTTAATTCCTAGGAGCGTATATGCAGGTACACTACTCAATTTTAAATTGTGGAACTAAACAATTGACTGCGAAACAATCGACAATCACACAAAAAATGTGCGATAGTTTTCCTCTATAACCCATGATCTAAGAAATTTCACATTTAACACTGGCTGAAATATAATATCAAACAAAATTCAGACATGCCTGTTTTAAAAAAACAAAAGTTTTACAGCTTAAACATTTATGAACATTTGTCATACAGTCCTGTAACTTGAATCAAAGACCAGAATAACTCCACTAGTGACGTATACATTAGTATCCCAGCTATCGCAAAATCTGTTTCATCCAGTTCCATTATCCTACCAGATAATATCATCTGTAGGTTCATCACCATTATCTGGAAAAATAAATATCATTAACTTGCCCTTGCCCAGCAGAGGTCGGCACGATACCTGCTCCTTCATACATCTCTATCAGCCTTCATATCTGAAATCACTACCTTCTTAAACATCAATCCATTTATACTTTCATCGACCCTCCTGTATCTTTCTAGTCATCCATATAATCTTAATACTTTCTTGTACATGTCATTGTTATTACTATCTTTTGTTTTTTTAATTCAACGCCAGCGGAGTCGAGGGCAAAAGCTCGTGTTCCATAAAAATATTAAAATAAACGTCTTACCACATCGTACAGCATTGTACAGCAAAGAGCGATAAAAAATTGTACCAAACCGTATCGTAGTTTAGTAAATGTTCTGAACACAAAGACTAAAGCAATAACAGCGGCGATTTCAAGAAATATCGTGTACAGATATAGCGACCATTCCTTGAAGTTATACTGAAACGGAACACAAGAATAGCTTAGCACGAAAATTTGCGAGAAAGTTATCGTAACGTCGTTGACTGAATTTGTATTAGATGTTTCCAGCGTCTATATCAAGACAAAAGTACAAGCACAACTAATGTAATACAAATTTGGTCGATTAAATTATTATCACGCAATTTTTCGTGCTAGACCCACAGAACAAAACACAATCACTTAACCAAAGCGTCTGCCTCATTCGCAGGTGATCAATGATACCTCTTATAATACATTTAGAATAAGAAATTAGGATTGTCTATTACAAGTATCTTAATACAGTAAAAGTAATTTAAGGTACTTACTCGTGTGAACCCTAATATTATCCAAAATAACACAACAACAGTTGTAGCGGCAAACATAAAAAATATTACAGTGGTCTCGAGTAACGCAGTCAACAAGCCCGCCAATATACTGTATGTGATCACCTGCAAATAATTATTTTTCTTAGCTTTACTTCGTCGCCTAATACATATTTTTTACAAGAGAAGAGTGCAAACAAGCGGCTAGTACAGCGTGGTGATCATCTACACATAGACATCCGCAATACCAGAGGAACTGCTGATGTATTGCCAACCTTTAGAATGTGTTCTTTCACATTTTCAAAGGTTGGTAACTCTAAACACTTACCGCTAGCAGAATGTAAATAAAATTGCAAGGAACTAGTCTTGAACATTTGAAGTAGCACATTGAAAAATTTAACCCAATTACTACGATCCTACAAACAAAACAAACGAGTACAGATTAAAAATGTAACAGCTTCTTTAATCAATGAAGAAAAAAAATCAAAACTTACGATCCAGGAATAGCGAAATACAAAATAAAACTCCGAAAAAATTCCTTTAAAGATTTCCTGGAGATAAAAGAACATTAATAAATAACAGAACAGAAAATAATGGAGAGACATTAGAAGAAGAAAAAATAAAAGCAACTGGAGATAAGAACAATTGAATGCGGTAAAAATGACGATGATAACAATTAACTAATAGAAAGTAATTATTTACCCGATGATGTAATTAATTAAAAACATACTTACGTATTTGCAACAACATAAATGAACCCGGACGTAAACAAAAGCATAACAAATAATATCATAAAAGCAACAGATAGAAAGTGATTGAATGACGGATCGTAATCACAATAAATATCCTCGTTCTTCAGAGCATCACCTAAAACAAACCAATAAAAGAATGAAATTTAAAAGTACTTGTACATTTCATCTATCAACACTCTAAACTTTCATTATAACAGTCATCCTAGCAACATATTTTTATTTAAGGCATAGTACTAAATTGTGTAGATTCGAGTTTTCTTTATAATATAAGGTAGCAAACGAGAAAGCGGCCTGAATCCACCGAAATGGAAAGTGACCGCGCCCATAATTATCCGCAATTGCAGATGCGTTGCCTACTCTTCATTGACGGAGGAGGAGACGCACATAAAGAGGACATTCCCCCTTCCTATGCGTCTCCTCCATCGTCAAATCCACTTTTTCTTTCCATCTCTTAAGATAAGGGTGGAAAGGGAAAGGGACTATAATTAGGCCTTAAGGAGTTTGCATTCGCATGGTCTAAGATTACTAGAAAATCTCTCATGGTTACAGAATAACAAACTATGTATGCTTAATAAATATCGAGTAACCTTTGAATAAAACCTTTTCGCCTCCAGGTCCGATATAAACACATGTTGGACATTTACCGCCTTCTTTTCTACTTTCTACATAGTTTTTGTATAGCGCGAATGCTCGTCGCCGTAATTCTTCGTTGTCATCTGAACTCTTCTTACGACACGTCTCCACATCTTTGTCAGCATTGAAGACATCTTGTGGTTTTGTTACATTTTTAATAATACACTTATTCATATAGTCACGAGCTTCGTCTGCATATTGTATACGTTTGGATTTATCACAACAAGTCACGCAATCTGGATGTATGTTATCGTTTGGACTCGTTTCCTGCATTTGATGATTCAGTAAACGTAACTACACATTTAATAATTTTACATCGAAAATTTCTAATTTGATTTCTATTCACATATTTCTAAAGTGACATCTTTAAGTCAAGTGTCTTAGTCAATGACAGAACAAGCATAAATAAAACCATCGACCTCTGTAAATGGACAGGATACTGTAATAAGTTATCTTCTTAACTAAAGAAGGAGTAATAAAACTTTCTTTTATCTCCTAGTAATTGGCAAAAATGTACGTCTGGAAACTATAAGAGATATAAAACATTATATTTTGTTCATGGTTGATTTTCGCCATCATGGCGCTGATGTTCTCGGTTAATGAAAATCGGAATAAGAGAGATAGAATTAGCTGTCGTTAACATCAACAGAACATAGCAAAAGCTGTAACTTTCAGCAAGGACCTTTATACAGATCAGCACAAGAAAGTTAAAAATTCATAGAGTATATATGAGTTAAAAGTCGACTTTTTCGAAAAACGGTAGGCAGAAAAAAACATACAGACGAATTGAGTACCTCCTTCTTTTGGGAAGTCGGTCAAAAAAGGATGACATTGCGCGGACCAGACTCACCTTTTACATCTATACATCTTTGCACTACTTCGAGTCACTTTAGGGAACTCTAAATATCGCCCTTATCGGCAATTAAATAGAATTTTCGTTACATTAAATTCCACCGACATTGCATTTTACTATTTCACGTACGAATCTAATGACGCACACAATGTTACATAGCATAATGACTGCATGCAAATTCCCGAGCAATGTGGACACAGTGCTAGCATTAGCTCTATAATAACGGTTGTTTGATGTCCGGGACGCGGAATTATTAACCTCATACCGTAAGCTCTCTGTTTACTAATACTATAGAGCCATGGCACGCAAATTGTTTTTGAATTTAATAATAAACGACAGTCAAGTCTATCTGTGTATATTTTAATGGGTATCTGAGACTCAAGTGTATAATTCTTTTGTCTTATATCTTTCCTTAATTTTTATCTATTTACAACGAAATGGCTTGTTTTATTTTTTAGAACAAAAACCTTTTATATTAACCCCTACCAAAATTTAATATCGTAAGTGATGCCATTTAAAAAATATATAAACATCCTGTGATATCTGACAACGTACATAACAAGTATGATGTTGTAAAAAATAGCCTGGAAGAACACATAGGCTACTGCTTTTGTTATTTTTAATTCTCAAAAAAGAAAAGTAAGCTAAAAACAGCTAGTTATTTAATATTGCAGGAATCATAAACGATTGAAAGTTGGCGAAATCAAATTTGCAGTTCCCCATTCGTTTTGATTACGTCGCAGCGCGGATCGCTATCAGTATTCCAGTCACGATTTACCAATATCGTGTTCATTTTGATGGACTTGCGAAAATTTAGTTAGGAAACGAGCATTTGTTGAAGCGGCGAATAGCTAACAAACTTGAATACTGATTAAAATGAGTATCTTTTGAATTAAACCTTACTCTTAGATTGGAAATTAACGTCACGTTACTGCTGCATATTATTTATTAATTACTTAAACACCCCTTAGTGAATGTTACTCATAAAGTGAGGCACTTATTGACCCATTAATGATTATTTAAAATATTAGTAGATTTTTGTTAATCATACTAATATTATTAATGTGAAAATTTAGATGGATGGATGTTTGTTATCCGTTCAGCAGTTTAGTTTGTAGCCTAAACTGCTGAACGGATTTCGACTAAATTTGGTACAGATGTAGAGGATAGTCTGGAAGAACACGTAGGCTATTCTTTCTGTTTTTTTTTAATTCCACGCTGACGGAGTCGCGGGCGAAAGCTAGTTTACTAACATTTCTCGTGCTCGTGCTCGGCTTGTGCTAGGATATAGTTCACAATAGTCGAATGGTGGGATTCGAACCCTCGACCATAAGATCGGTAGTCCGTACCGCAAACCATTAGGCTATTGGCGCTTAACTGTGGATTTATGAAAATCGTAAAAATTACTGTTGACAGTTTTCCTTTCATTAAGTAGATTGATTACTTTTCTGGAAATTATCACTGGTTTATGAATTTCGGAACACCTGTATAACTAGAGGTTACATTTTTTTAAGAATATTTGGCGTAAAGTTACATTTAAAATATTTCACTCGTAAATTACATTTCACGCTTTTACCCTGATTAAAGTTCACAACATTAATTTTTTTACACTTTCGTTTAACGATGTAAGCAAGCATGTTAAATGAAATTATTCGTCACTCTCAGAGTTAGATAATATCAGATTAAAAGCACATCTTTGAATTAACTATCGCACAACTGTTTAGTCGCGCTTTTCCTATTAGCTTATAGGTGCACCCTACTCGATTTATAGTTGTGCAACTAAACGGTCTAATTGGCTGCGAAACAATCGACAATCGCTCTACGGTTCCGAGTTTAGTCAGAGGTATGCGCAATCTCCTTAGTATACAAAAAAATCTATTCGCGACGAAGAACTTTGATTGGGAGTGAAATGTATGTTTATGTATTTGTGATTTAAAAAGTAAGAATTGTCGAAAGGTGTGGAGTCGCTGAGGTGACAACATGTTTCACGTGAATGTTTCGGCAGTGAGAACTCATGATTTGAGTAGTCTTTTGATATGGTATATGACACTGGCTCAATCCGCTGAGGGAGAGCCATAAACAAGAAATAGAATAGAATAGATATGGTATAATAGGTATTTATAAAATAGCCTCAGCTTGAAGTAAAATTATACTAGTTTCTACTCGTAACGAAAGCGGTTAAATATAAAAAAAAAACAATTTCATATTCAACTGTTTTGTATAGTAAATTTGTCAGTTTACAAACCAGGTCTTCCTTGCTTTATATTCCTTGAAAAAAAAAACTCTGCAAGTATTTGTAATATCTCCACAAAGGTTTCCGTTTTTAAAGTTAAGAAGTAGAAAAAGCTTAAAAGAAAAATATTCCTTTGTTGAACATTTTATTTGTCTGTCATACAAATAAAATGTGGAAAGTTTGAGGCTGGAGAGTTTCGTATAGCTGTTCGAGTACAACTAAGTGCACTTTATATTAATAGTAGGGATTTTTTATTCGGTCAGTTAAAATAGTGTGGTCGAAAAATCTTTATAATGAAGTTACAAAGTTAAAAAAAAAGATTCAACAACGTCACCGATCATTTACGAACTTCGTTTATTTGCAATTTAACTAGATATCATACTATCTTACTTCTTACTAATCTTGCTTCTTAGTAATATTATAAATGCGAATGTTTAGATAGATGGATGGATGGATGGATGTTTGTTAGACTTTGTAGCCTAAACGGCTGAACGGATTTCGATTAAATTTGACATAGATGTAGCGGATAGTCTGGAAAAAACACATAGTCTACTCTGTTTTATTTTTAATTCCACGCGGACGGAGTCGCGGGCAAAAGCTAGTAAATAATAAACTCATTAAATCGATTACCATTATTCGGATAGTCGTATCGGTGCGCGGGCTAATAGCGAAGCGCTTCAACCAACATCTCAAGACACTTTTGCTAGACAGTTGAATTAAGGGCCCGAAAAGGCAGTTATTTTAGAAACCGCATTGTGAGGAGATTCCTGTCTCTGCAGCCCTGACTGCTGGTTGCTTGAGTCATCGAATTCCGCAGCCGGTGTTACTCTATTTTCTTATGTAATACGTTCTATTTTTCTGTATTTTTATGTTATTAAATAAGACAATAAAGGTACAGGAAATTGACTTACTGCGCTCGAGCAAAAGTAGGTCTTGTTTTCCGAAACGAGAGAGTACCAACGTCGTTTGTACTGCGTTATCGCCTACCAGTCAATTGAGATCTGAACAATAAACTGTTTTAATTATTCTAATTGAAAAAGTACAAGTAACGTTATATTCTATTGAGTTAATAAGTCGTAGGGAAGAGTTTTATAACAAAATGTTCACAAACAACGCTGGGAAGTTCTATCCAGTTATTTTCTTTATTAAAAACTTTATAAAACAAAGTATAATTAGAAAAAAAAATACTTTGAAATATCTTGAGTTTCGTAAGGAAAAGGGAACTGAATGTTGATCGTGAAATCCGTTAATTGTATTCCAAGTTTATCTTTCAAAGTTTTTACAGACATTGTTAAGAATAATGCTTCTATTAACGTGAATATTAAATGTTATTTTAAATAAAACTTTTCCTGTTATTGAACTGCGAATATACTAGCTTTTAATCGCGACTCCGTCTGCGTAGAATTAAAAAAAAGTAACTGTGTGTTCTTCCAGACTATGTTCTACATTTATGCTAAATTTCATCCAGATCCGTTTAAGTGCTAACTCTAACAAACATTCATCTATCCATCTAAACTTTCACATTTAGAATATTAGTAAGATATATAGTAAGTGCTAGCTGTTGCCCGCGACTTTATCCATGCAATATTAAGATAAAAGTAGCCTATAATATTCCCGTCTAAGTCAGATACCCTTCAGTGAAAGTCCGGTCGAAATCGGCTTAGCCGTTTCGGAGATTACCCGGAACAAACGCGGCTTGTGGACAGACAGACAGACAATTTTTTTTTAATGCGATTTTCGTTATTAGCAACGCAGATAAATCATCTTCCCGAAATCTGGAATTTTTCTTATGATATTACAAACAGACACTCCAATTTTATTATATGTACATGTAGACATAACGATGAGTATGATTTAGAATATTCTTTTCAATAGATTTAAGTACCATTATTTTATTTTAAGGAAGGTATAATGAAATTTGGCACAGATACAAAATACTCTGAAATAACATACAGGCTAATTTAAAAGTTAGTTTAATTTCGGGCAAACGAAGTCGAGGGAGAATACTATAATATAAAAATAGCTTTAATGGTAACAAATTAAAATACTTTAAATATTACAAACATTATAAATAAAAATTAAAAAAAAGAAAAATGTTAATCATTATAATTAATTTAATGTTTTTATTTTTAAAAATAGATTAAGACATAGTTTTATACACGTCTAGTTTTTTTTAAATATAAAATAGCAAATTTGCAACATCAAAATATGTTGCCACACGTCAAAATGAAACACGTATTTCCAGCTAATCAACGTCAGGGGCGTTCAACGTATTAAGACAATATAGGT